TAAAATATCCTTCATAAACTTACAAATTGAAAACCAACAACGCTATACTAGCGAGACGGCAATTGAAACTCAATACAAGGTGAACCTTGACAGTTAAGCGTTGTAAACAATACGGCGTCGAAAATCGCATGCAATTGCTAACGATGGTTGCAAAATATCGCTATATATGAATATTGCTTTACTCTTGTAATGATTTGGCGGATCCTAGAAGTTTCAATGTTGAATAAAGCAGCGATAAACGATAGCAGACGAAATTGACAAGTAGACTTAGTAATAATATGGATAGACTAATACGTTCAAAAGCTATGCTCAGTATGGGGGCTGAGTTTGTACACTTAATAAATAATTCGCAAGTTTCAAATGTCAATTTCCTGACGCGTGTTGCGAGCAGGTATTTACTATCGCAAAGGATTTTAGACTTCTGTGAGTTTGTCAGTTCTAAACTGTTCTTCCTAGAGGTCCGTCAGTAAGGATCATCTCTTATTGATCCAGTGTTACTACAGGAGAAAACCTAAACTAAACTAAATTTATTTATACTGCATGGATAGTTCTATCAGTTCCAAACTGTTCTTCCTAGAGGTCCAGTAAGGATTATCTCTTATTGATCCAGTGTTACTACAGGAGGAAACCCAAACTAAACTAACTTATTTATACTGGATAGCTCTATCAGTTCTAAACTGTTCTTCCTAGAGGTCCAGTAAGGATCATCTCTTATTGATCCAGTGTTACTACAGGAGGAAACTTAAACTAAACTAACTTTATTTATACTGGATAGCTCTATCAGTTCTAAACTGTTCTTCCTACAGGTCCAGTAAGGATCATCTCTTATTGATGCAGTGTTACTACAGGAGGAAATCTAAACTAAACTAACTTTATTTATACTGGATAGTTCTATCAGTTCTAAACTGTTCTTCCTAGAGGTCCAGTAAGGATCATCTCTAATTGATCCAGTGTTACTACAGGAAGAAACCTAAACTAAACTAACTTTATTTAAACTGGATAACTCTAACAGTTCCAGTAAGGATCATGATAAAAACGTGTTTCCTGCTTTTCAAAAAGGTTTCAAAATTTTAGGCTCTCGTCAAACTAAGATTACTTGCTATAGAAGTAATAGAACTCTTACAATACCATTTATAAGGTCAACAGGTCAAAATTTTCCGAATTTCATCTTAAAAAAATGATCATCAAAGTTGTTATGGTAAAAATTTAATGCGCCGCCGTTTAAAATTACTTGTTAAAAGACATATTTGCTTTAAAAGTAACTAGCCGTGTTGTCGTTATAGGACTGATGACAGGGATAGCGTTGAAATAACTTTTTAAAATACAGTTCAACCGATAGATCACCATGTTAGGACTGATTGAAACGTGACAGGGTGTTTGGTTATGTTTTGAAGGCATTTTTTCAAGACATGCCGCATTAATCGCACAAAAAAATTAGTCCAACTTGCACTGTAAACTAAAATTATAGTCTTGGTAAAGCGATGGAAATAATCCAGGAGTGAAAGAGATCGTCAACTCGGTTGTGAGATTTGGAAAAATGCGAACAGAATAGCCTTGCAATGTGTGCAGATTTTGCTTAATTTGAAAACTGGTTTCGGTACGATGAAAATTTAAGAATTTGCTCAAAATATGCGCCGTCATATTATGGGCGGGGTCTGATGTAGGCTGGAAATGGGCGTTACCCTCTCTCCAAATTAAATACGCGGGAATTTTGGGTGGCCCCTTTGACACAAGAATATTTTGGTCTAATTTTGCCCAGCTTCATTTTTAGGAACACATATCACCAACGAATGCTCTTTATATCAATTACTTCCTGCTATTTTTAAAATGCTAACGATATTGGTAGAAGGGCTTTTTGATAAGCAGTTCATTGCATGAAAACTATACGAAAATATTCAGGGCGAAACAACTGCAAATTGTACGTTTTTAAGCCGGTTCATTTAAGTGTTTCACAACGTCACATTTTGCACAACAAAAGATTAAAAAGGCTTTCATCTGAATGTGAATAATCTATCGACACTTGAGTAAGACTTCATATGACATATTCGTAGTTTTGACACGGAGAAAAACGACGTTAAATTTAGGAATCGAAATTAAAACGAAATGCATGGTTGTTCTTCAAAGCAGGATTCCGTATATGCCATAATTTGACCTATTTCCTTGTAAAACAGCCGTAAAGTCCCTTAAAATCGTTGTAATTCGCTTTTCACGAAGCATTAACGCGAATTTAAAGCGATTATGACATTGAATTACGACAAAACATGGCTTGTTGATAGTCAAATTACTAAATATTTCAAAGCTGAAAGGTTTTATACCTGATAATGAGAGATTATACTCCACAAGAGACCAAGAGTTAACTTCGGATTTCCATTGACAATGTCATCATTTCGTATGTTGACTAACTTTACCTGGTAAATACAACAATATTTTTTTACTTCCAGAGCAAAATAAAACACGGTTAATAAAATAAATGAAATTCGGTTTTCAATTTTAACTATATCCTGCCGTGGTGATTGTTTTGTTTTCCTCTGTTTTCATTTTGTAAATTGTTACAAATAGCACATTTCGCAAAAAATGAGAAATTTCAAATGTAATGATGCATTTTGGGTACCTTTTGCGTTTCCAAGAAATTCAGAACGTGTCCAACGTTGTTTAAATGATGAACTCTTAATCTTCCCTTTTCACGTTTCTGTGAGACAAGAAAATCATCTGACACATTAGACAGAGTAAAATACTAAAGTAGGTCACATCTGGGTGCATTGCAAGCTAATGGGTTAACAAGAGACACTGACAAATAGTTTTGTTAACTTATTAACTGACAGTATTCTTCCACTGATGAGTAAAATCATCTGACATTAGACAGAGTAAAATACTAAAGTAGGTCACATTTGGGTGCAATGAGGGATAAAGAGGGTTAACAAGGGATACTAAAGGATAGATTTTGTTACATACAAACTTACCAATTTTTTGCCAGTAAGTATTTCCAAAAGCGTGATCAACTTTGTACCATCTCGCAAATCCTTGAAAATATCCTTCACTTCGACATTTGCACGCGCCTGGAAACATTCAAAGACAACGATATTAAAAAAAAAACATTCAAGAATATATTCAGACATAATGAATGGCAATGAAATTGTAAACCATGACTGAACCACAATAGCTAATGGGAAACAGGTCTTGCAACTTAATCAGTCAAATGCATTACAATTAATCAACTTCAAGGCCATGATAAACTACTATATACCTTGCCATATTGCATGTTCACCCATTTTGTGAAGGTCTTTTTCTGAATTCCCTCTTGTTCGCCTGGAAAAAAAGGTTGAATTAGCACAAACAAATAGAAAATACTATCAGTTTTAAAGGCTTAATGGTAAGTCAAGAGCTATTAGCTGTGGTTTTAGGAGCATTTATAATAAAACTATCTGTCAGTGTCTCTTGTTAAATCATTAGCTTGCAATGCACCCAGATGTGACCTACTTTAGTATTTTACTCTGTCTAATGTCAGATGATTTTACTCATCCGTGGAAGAGTATTGTCAGTTAATAAGTTAACAAAACTATCTGTCAGTGTCTCTTGTTAACCCATTTATCTTGTTTTAATACCTCAATGATATCACAAAATACAACTTGCATATATTGCATTAAATTTTGTTAAATCAAGTTATCAGTGTTCTAATTGATGAATTTGTAATATAATTAGCTGTGACAACAAGTAATTATTTACAGTTGTGCAGGGGATAATTAACTTAATTAATTTGCTTAAGAAGTCATGTAACGCCAGATGCACTTTATCCTAGCAATTTCACTTCGTAAAATGAATAAAAAACTTGCTCTTTCTTGGATGGGTATACTGACAGTCAATTGCTTGGCAATTCTCTATCAGTTTAAGTCTATATTTAAAGCTGCCTAGTGGTTTATTCAATCTGATTTTATTCCTAGACATAATTTGCTGCCAAGGCAACTGTTGTAATGCTAAACAGAGTGATGTAAATTTCAAAGCAAATGGAAATTGGATGATATTTGAGAAATAAACCTTGTTATCATAACTTAGAAATTAACAGCCGAGGTAAAATCATGTTAGATCTTGATAAAATACTATATATGGGAGAATTACATGCTAATGGGGGATAACAAGAGACACTGACAGATAGTTTTGTTAACTTATTAACTGACAGTACTCTTCCACTGATGAGTAAAATCATCTGGCATTAGACAGAGTAAAATACTAAAGTAGGTCACATCTGGGTGCATTGCAAGCTAATGGGTTAACAAGAGACACTGACAGATAGTTTTGCTAACTTATTAACTGACAGTACTCTTCCACTGATGAGTAAAATTATCTGACATTAGACAGAGTAAAATACTAAAGTAGGTCACATCTGGGTGCATTGCAAGCTAATGGGTTAACAAGAGACACTGACAGATAGTTTTGTTAACTTAATAACTGACAGTACTCTTCCACTGATGAGTAAAATCATCTGACATTAGACAAAGTAAAATGTTCAGAGTTAAGTTCAAAGACTTATGTAAACATAGTTACATTTATAAACTTAGTAATCGCTTAATCAGGACTTAAATATATTCCTGAAATTTATATATTTCATAAGAAAACCATAAGCATACTCTTCATACAAAAATTATGGACCATGTTCCCAGACAAAATAGGAATATAATATGCATAGAGTATACCACCAAAATAACAGATCATATGTACATATAAATAAAATATATATCCACCTAGATTTCAACCGAAGAAAATGCTGGTGGACATAATATAGAATACCTTTATAGGAGTCCATTGTGCCAAACGCAACTCAGAAATGTTGTTCGGTTACCCGAAATAACACAATTCAAATGTAAATCTCAAATTTCTCCCACAGTGAGAGAGTTACAACCAATTGATTTGAAAACAAAGTCCTTGTTGGTGTAAATATATCAGACACAACAGAAGTTATCCTTTCTCAAAAGTCGATTTCGAAAATCTCTACAAAGAACAGCCTCGGCCGAGATAGTTTGCCAGCTAGGAGATGGTAATCGATTGAATGGAGAAGTTTTGATTAAAAGAGTCTAATATCCATCCACAGGAGGTAATATTTTGTTACATATCAAATATTGGTTGGATCTAATTGTTATGAATGAATAGCTTAGGGCAATGTCTGTAATATGAACTAGGATATAAATGACCATCTTTTGTGATTATTTAAACTATCAAAACTCAATCTAATTCATTAAATATTGGAACAGGATGAAGACGATGTCGTATTTCTTTCATAGCTCAAATCCCAGGCAATATTTGGATTCTCTTTAACGATTAAAGGCTTAAGAAATTGAAACCATTCATTGAAATAAATCAATATTTGACACGCGAGGAAAAGCGACCGGAATTGTAAGTGAATGCTTGGCTCAAATGAATGCGTCTTGTGGTCTAAGATTGCGGTTTTTTATCGTGACAAAAAGCTTTGAAACTAATGCTTTTATCGGCGAGGAATGATTAAACGCCCAGTCCATTTGAACAAACAAATATGTAAGTCAACAATGTCAGTAGAAACGCATTAAAAACCTTACGCTGATGACAGGCAAAAGCAGAATGGTAAATCTATTATAAAAACATAGCTTGTCTTTTCAAGATACAGCGCTGGAATAGCCCAGAATGCTGAAATTACGAAGCAGAAAGGACACAAAGGATCGCACAGCGAGATAGATTGCTGCATATCAAGATTAAAACAGCACGAAACATTCCTTTCACAAAAACACACCCAGAAATACATTCAACGCAACTTTTGGCAAACGAAATAGCCGTAAAAATACGCTAAAACTTTACAGAAAGTAAAATTCACATCAGGTTTTTATGCAAAAGCTTTACTACGAAAGAGTTCGTGGTATATTTTGAAGTTTTTGACGACACGCTGAGCCGTTGTAAGTCAACACTTTGTGGCAAATGAGATTATTAAACACGCGAAATTAAACCGAAATTTAAATGTACAAAAGAAAGTTTGATTTGTAAACTGTCGACCTGAGAAGCGTTGGAGTATTAGCTAGAATTATAATGCACAAAGGATTGGAAGAAAGGCTTTGTTTACATAGGTTAAAATAGCTGAAAACTACAGACAAAACATAGCCAGTGTTTGCGAGAATCATTTCGACAATTGAACACAGTATGTTGGCAAGTTCACCTCGTGAAAAGGTCAAAATATCAACAAAACGATATAAAACGGAAATAAACTAGCGTGATGTACATCAAGACCGCCTTTTACTCTCTCATATTGAACTCAAGTAAACTAAATACTTCAAATATCGGCCCAAAATTATACATAAAAGAAGAGTGCATATTTTTATAGCGCGTTCATTTGCAAGATCTATTTCGGGTCGCCTCAGAATTTGCGTGTAAAATCGATCATAACTTACCCGATTTTGACTTGATTCTAAGCGTAACATCTGCACTCAGTTCCTCTTCGGTGAAATCAAACCCGTGGCTCATTTTGATGCTGGATTTTCTACAAAAAATCGACGGATTTAAAGGGCAAAATTTGCAACATGCAAACCTGCGTCCCTTTAAAAAATTTCCAGACAATCAAATTTATATTAAATTTACTGGATTAAAATACTATAAGCGAAGCTACGAGACACGATTCTGTGTGAAATGTAAATATTTTCCCCTCGAAGGATCCATTGTCCCGTGAAAAGGCCAATATCACAATACCTTTTATATTTTAAACTCGATTATAACAGGTCCAAAATATTATGTATAATTCTCCGGCAACACGCTGGAATTTCCGTGAACAAATGGTCTACGCGAAACGGCAAGGTATTTCAGGCAATATTCTTGTCGTCTGACAACAGGAATGGAGTTAAATTCGTCGAAAAAAGCGTCAAAACTCGATGAATACTCGACTTAAAGACGTTTTTAAGGGCTCCATTGCTCCTTTGACCACAAAAGATCAAGCGATTTGTGTACTTCCGATCTTCTTCCGAGGAACCTCCGTCGCTTCCCGATGATAAGCCTTCGAGAAATTTCCACCCCCTGATTATAGCACAAATGCTTATAAATCTGCGATAGATTTTATCCATTAAAGGGGGGTGCAAGGCAAAAATCCTAACTATACGCAGAATTTGAATAATTTCCGTCCTCAACCTTTTCCTCCCCCCGTGATAGTCACCGGAGCTCATCGAGCGTCCATACCTTGCTGTGCAAAATAGCAGGGGGGAGCTATTTTTTGTGAACTCTACCGTTAAAAAACTATTCAAAGTATGCATAAAAGAATGTCAAAAATGCTGAATTTCTCCAAGTTGAACATTTACAATTAAAATTTAGGTGAATTTTGCATTTTTTAAACGTTCTCTATGCACGAAAAGTAAAAACATTCAAAATTTCCCTCTAATTTTATGTTGTGTAGCACTTTTCAGTTTCCACGATAGTTACTAAGGATTTTAAAACATTTTAATAAAATTACATCCTGTAGATCATTTTACCAGATGTCGTGCTCCAAACTACCAAAACAGGCCAAGTCACTATTGAATTTAAATTAGATCGCCAATAATCCAGCTCTGTCATTGGCTAATTTCTATGAACGCTTATTGGCCAGAAATTGTACCCTCGCTTGTCAACTCTCATGCAACTCTTGTTCTCGTTTGATCAAGCAATGATAGTTGATGAAACTCTCATGTAAACTCTCGCTTGTCAACTCTCATGAAACTCTTGTTCTCGTTTGATCAAGCATGATAGTTGATGAAACTCTCATGTAAACTCTCGCTTGTCAACTCTCATGCAACTCTTGTTCTCGTTTGATCAAGCAATGATAGTTGATGAACCTCTCATGTAAACTCTCGCTTGTCAACTCTCATGTAACTCTTGTTCTCGTTTGATCAAGCAATGATAGTTGATGAAACTCTCATGTAAACTCTCGCTTATCAACTCTCATGCAACTCTTGTTCTCGTTTGATCAAGCAATGATAGTTGATGAAACTCTCATGTAAACTCTCGCTTGTCAACTCTCATGCAACTCTTGTTCTCGTTTGATCAAGCAATGATAGTTGATGAAACTCTCATGTAAACTCTCGCTTGTCAACTCTCATGCAACTCTTGTTCTCGTTTGATCAAGCAATGATAGTTGATGAAACTCTCATGTAAACTCTCGCTTGTCAACTCTCATGCAACTCTTGTTCTCGTTTGATCAAGCAATGATAGTTGATGAAACTCTCGTGTAAACTCTCGCTTGTCAACTCTCATGCAACTTTGTTCTCGTTTGATCAAGCAATGATAGTTGATGAAACTCTCATGTAAACTCTCGCTTGTCAACTCTCATGCAACTCTTGTTCTCGTTTGATCAAGCAATGATATTTGATGAAACTCTCATGTAAACTCTCGCTTGTCAACTCTCATGCAACTCTTGTTCTCGTTTGATCAAGCAATGATAGTTGATGAAACTCTCATGTAAACTCTCGCTTGTCAACTCTCATGCAACTCTTGTTCTCGTTTGATCAAGCAATGATAGTTGATGAAACTCTCATGTAAACTCTCGCTGTCAACTCTCATGCACTCTTGTTCTCGTTTGAAGCAATGATAGTTGATGAAACTCTCATGTAAACTCTCGCTTGTAACTCTCATGCAACTCTTGTTCTCGTTTGATCAAGCAATGATAGTTGATGAAACTCTCATGTAAACTCTCGCTTGTCAACTCTCATGCAACTCTTGTTCTCGTTTGATCAAGCAATGATAGTTGATGAAACTCTCGTGTAAACTCTCGCTTGTCAACTCTCATGTAACTTTTGTTCTCGTTTGATCAAGCAATGATAGTTGATGAAACTCTCATGTAAACTCTCGCTTGTTAACTCTCATGCAATTCTTGTTCTCGTTTGATCAAGCAATGATAGTTGATGAAACTCTCATGTAATCTCTCGCTTGTCAACTCTCATGCAACTCTTGTTCTCGTTTGATCAAGCAATGATAGTTGATGAAACTCTCTCATATCGTGAGCGCGTGATCATTAAGCAGTGATTCCTTCCCACACTATTATCGAATTGAACCACAAGGTGACACAATTTCCATTGATATTACCATCCTTCCTTCCTCCAAGGCGCTGAAAAGAATATATCAATGAATAAATGAAATAACCAAAACAATATCACAATACGTCTCTAGTTCTTGCATAAAATGCGATACGAGTTCATTCAAGAGCCATCATTACATCCCAAACGCTTCGGTCAGAACAGCGAGTCGCTTTTCATAATCGGATAAGTAAATTATATTTGAAATATTGAAACTATGGTTGTGGATCCGTGGTGGATAAGCGATTCCCGTCCAACCGACAGAGATATTCAAAAAATCTGTAACAAGGTATGGTTTCAAAACGTTTTTTGGTTTAAGAGGATCCCAAAAGACGTGTAGGGAGTTTGTAACAATAATGTCAATTATCAAGTGTAAACAACCTTGAAGCCGAGCTATCAGTAAACTTTGACAACTCTTCAACAAGCTGAGAACTAGCTAGGAACATATCCTGATTGCCAAAGTGTTTACATCAAATAATAGGTGAAATTTACTAGTCGTCACGACATAATTGATCACGTTTTTTACATTCTTGTTCAAAATATTTACGTGATTTTTTTCGAGTTTTCTTTCAAAAATAGCCAACGAAAACATAAGCCTAAGTTTTGCGGTTTAAAGGTATTCAAAATATGTCGCGAAGTGTTTTTTTAAGGCCAATATATCCGTTACACTAAATGATTTCTTTCTTAAGCACTTCAAACAATATCAAGTGGGTTTTTTTAAAGTTTCTCGAGCACTTTGTAAGCCCTCAGGGGAAACTATTTGATTTCATGAGTGACGTACAGTCATCAGTCATCACTGAATTGAACCATAACATGCAGTTGAGCCAAATTTTAATATGATTATATGAAAGTATTCATAGGTTTAAAAGGAGATATTTCTTCATGCAATAGCACTTAAATTTTCAGCATTAAAAATGTTTTGCAAACCTGAAAAGTATCGACAAAATATGTTTACTGTATAATCTCAAAATATTCAGAAAATGAAAAGATTTCTCGGGATACGCCGAGAAGAAAATGACACTTGAATCGAAGCTTCTTTTGTATTCATTTCAGTTATAATGGCGTTGACATTATAACATTGTTGATAGCCGCTGCATTATATTTTGTAATAACTCCTTTGTTTGGTGTTTTGCATTCACCAAATACGGTTCAAAACTTAGTTCACAACATAATCTAAAGAATAAAGGTAAAATAAATTATTTTTGAGCGGTACGCCGAAAAGATTTTAGGTTTTGAGCGTTTTCCAGCCAAAATACGCGACTTAATAAAAAATTTCCTCTTAACCATTTACACTTAAATCGTAGCAGTTGAGACTAAAATATGTTGTAAATATATGAGTATGTTTTGTCCCTATAGGTTAGGCCAGTTGCTGAATATACCGCTGGGAAATCACGAAAATGCAAAGTGCCTTTTCCAAGATTCGTAGTTGTAGAATATAAAACTCAACTTGAACATGGAACGAAATATTTTGTGAAGGTAAATAGAGCGAAATCTCCATAGTTGATAATGGAAAACGAAGTGTTATTCTGGCACAAGTTGCGTATGTTAATTTCACTTGTAGAGACTTGGAAATATTTAAGTTTTTAAATGAAGTTATTGCAAGCTTTAGCAAAGAGTTAGTTAAGCAATGTATACAGTATAAATACCCGTTTTCACTTGCGATTTTTTGTGCGATTTTCTTCTTTTGAGAGATGTGAACGAGTGAATTAGTTACTGGTGTTCAAATATGAGTTCTTAAACATCACAGCATTCGTAACTTATTACTCGTTCACATCTATCAAAAGACGAAAATCGCTTGCAAAAATCGTATTTTCGATGCATCGTAGTCATTTAAGCACCGCATTTTTATTAAGGTCGACGCTGGCGTGTGTTACGTACATCTTTGCATCCATCAGGATTACGAAGTCGGAGGTGGTCGGATAAAGCTCGAGAAAATGTTGGTTAATCTAGACGAGGATTATCCCTTAGAGTATTTTGAATAAACTAGCAGCTGTTTATCTAGAGAATATAGAATACCTACTTATTGTAAAGCAAATACCTATTGTGCTGTCATTTAAAAAAAGATATAAGTTCTGTACTTAATTTGCCAGGGGGAAACGTATTTTTTACTTATTAAGAGCAATCTGAACAATGATAAAAAAACAGTGTTTATTTTAAGATATCTTTGGGAATCGCAAAGAATAAAATTAGTTGCTAAACTTCACCGTTTACAGTGCATATATAGCACAAAACATTTCTTCGTTTAGTTCGTTAAAACACCGCGGAAATTGGCAAGACTTGTCACCGCAATTCTCAATACTTAGGCTTCAAACTTGGTGAGGAAAAAGATTATAATTCTTGGCCTGAAATATGGCCATATTTGCGTTTTTTAACTGATGCAGCCAGCGACTTTAATAGAATTATGTTTAAGACTGTTTAGCAGCTTCTTATAGCTTAGCAGCTCCAGAAATAATCTGAGTCACGCTGTGTTAGACCTCGAGAGACTCGATATTTCTCTCAATATACAAACCACACTAATATTTGGGCATAAACAACTGCTACACAATTCAATAAAGCTTAAATCTCACAGCACGAATGCGGGAAAGCCAGGTGATTTATCCAGACTTTTGATCGACAGTTCTCGGGCTGAAGGCACTAACGAGAACGCAGAGTTGACTGTCTGAATGTCTTTGTTGCTGTTTTACTGCTGTAAGGTTGATCAAAATGCTGATAATACAGTAAATGTTTGATGTTTATGAATGAACTCTGCTATAGTTTAATTCATTGCCTCCTATATCATGCAGAGACTGGGGAGAGTATTCCGGGGTTAATTTAAGGTAGTTTTTAGTCGATATAATTTTTTTTTCGAACGATATCCGTTCCATATATGTTTAATAACAGTGTTTTTTGTATGTAAAAGAAAAATTTGGAAAGAAAAAAAATTGCGGAAAGAAACTAAAAACACCCAAAAGAGATCATCCAGCCTATGCCACAATCTAACCTGGTTATACAACCGGCTGCAATATTCAGCATAGTTACAACTACGAAAGGTGCAAGGACAGTTGCTATAGGAAGAACTCCCCCCCCCATAACTCACATCTTAACGGCCGTCTAAGGGGAGATGCACTACGGCCCCCAGACCATGATGTATGTGCACCTAACCGTTACGTCTCAGTGAGAAACAGAGTATGCATCGCCACAAGCCTAGCGCGTCATAGACGAATCAGCTACAGTGGCTAGCCCTAAGAGCGAAGATAAATTTAACGTATTTAAGCTTTTCCTGGTCTCGGGAGGCGGTCCCTAACAAGTATATGCATAGAAAACGACTTATAAGGCACACGCTTGGAAATGACAAGATTTAAACGCCTAAACGTTTTTTAAGTGTTTTTAGCGAGAAATTTTATTGTTTTGATATTCTTTTATTGTTTTGAAACAATCCTTGTTGGTTTTAACGTTAAAATAATCGTCATTCTCAAAAGGAAACTCAATATAAATGACTGAACGGCTTAGTTTGCTAAAATGTTTTGTTAATCTTGTGTTTAGTATAACCGCTTGATTCGCCGGTACAATTTGGGCCTAAATTGTATGTATTTATTTCACAAGTTTTCAAATCGAAGTAAAGACTAAAGCTACAGACATGCACTTAGCCTTTGGTGAGGAAAAAGATTTATATATACTTAACAAAGCTTGCTTGAAGCTTGCACTGTTGCACACGGCAAAAACAAATCGTCTGAATTAATAACTGCCGCTATTCTCAATACTTTGGCTTCAAACTTGGTGAGAAAAAAGCTTTATAAACACTCAACAAAATATGTCTTGCACAAAGGATTTGATGCTTGCACACGGCAAAAACGAATCGTCTGAATTGATAACCTTGTGTGTACTTTAAGCCTCAAAATGGCCGTTTCACAGCTGTCAGATGTGCTTGATAAGCTGTCAAAAAATTGCAAAATGCGTATTTAGAAGAAAAATTGAACTTTTTAAAGTTATTCAATAGTTTTCTCTTTGATAGCGATACAGAAATGCACAATTGTGAACCAGTGTTTATAGATTTTCGGCTTGAAACTTCATCAACACCAATTTCTGCTGTGTCCTTTAGAAGAGTTTTTAACATCCTTACTATATCCATCTGAGATCCCTCTTCACTACAACTGCATGTCCCTTCCTATCCACCGTTATCCCAAATTATCGCTTAATTGCAACACGTTTCATATGTGATTGAACAGTTCCAAATTTCCAATGAATCATTCTGTATGTGAATTTCAGCTTAGCAGGCGAAATACTGTCGTCTCGTCTGCGATTAACATACGGCAAGTCTTGGCCTGAGAGATGGCCATATTTGCGTCTTTTAACTGATTCAGCCGACGATTTGAGTAGAATTATGTCTAAATTTCTTTAGCAGTTTCTTTGCTGGGCACGAATGAACTTGGACGGCGAAACATGAAATAATTCGACTCCCGCTGATGTTAGACCTCGAGAGACTCGATATTTTCTCTCATACACAAACCACACTAATATTTGAGCATAAACAACCCCTACACAATTGAATAAAGCTTAAATCTCACAGCACGAAATGCTATTTTGTGCGTACGTTTATAAACAGGGGAGACCTTTTGTGGGAAAACGATTCGCACTTCGACAAAACGACTTGAATTTCACACTTTATGCATGAAATAATTCACATAAATGCAATGAACTTCAAAAGCAGTTAAAAGATACCAAGGTCTGCCATCTTAATCCGCTAATATTTGCTTGTTTGGGTAACATATTACGTTTTTATATAAGTTAATGTTTGTTTTATATTTCTTTGCATCGCTGTGAGGTTTAATAAACTCCCAACGGAGACACGGTGTATCAAAGATGCCGTTAATTACACAACGCTGTGCTTCGACTATAGGGAAACAATGCCATATCAATTGTATAGTTTGGCCCAAAAAACATTTTATTGTCTGACTAAAAGCCATTATATCTCTGCCCACAACCACGGCTGTTGTGTTCGTAAATTATTAAACGTTTCCGGCTGAGTCAAAACATAAGGTTTGCCACAAAAACTTCATTTTGGTTAAGTTAATAAAGTTTAATTTCGCTAGCAGATTTTCGCACGCAAATGGTAGATTTCTTCGCTAAATGTGTTTGTAGACAAAATATTTGTTGTAAAGAGTTACAAGTTGAAACAGGTTGCCCGTTGCTCGCTTTGTTGGACGGAATTCAAGACAATTAATCATTTTGATGACAGTCAATGCTATCAATAGATGATAATTTTCAGATAAAAGTTAATTGTGTTTCATACAAAATGCTATTATCGCCGCGAGACTTCATTCATTGTCTCAAGCAAGGCATCAGGTGACATCGGGTAAACTCTGTGAAGTTAAACGACGTTTTTTCGAAAGGTATGTGCATCTAAACTCGTTTTATTCAACCAAGATTACCTTCGAGTTAGTACATAGCCGTTTTTTACATCAAAATTCACTGTGTTTGCCGACTTTGCGTTCTAATAACATCCATAAGCGTGTACAATGCCAATGGGTGTTAAAATTGAATGTTTTAACGTTGATTTTTTTCGACACCGGAGCTTTGGAAGTTTGCAATTGTTTAGCATCTGTCACGAATGCCTTAGGCTTCCTTTGTGAGTAACGAAATAATACCTACAGCAATTTTTTTTCTGTACAAATCAATGAAATTCTACCTTTACTGCAATTTGAAGTGCCGACAGATATATACGTGTGGTTTTAATCGACAAATCTTTGCATATATAAATGAACATTTTAACTGATAACGGTATACCTTTCTATGATTTGGAATGACAGACGGCGGAGGTTCAAATATTACAGCGAATTTTAAGCTAGTCTTCTGTTGATGGGGATTTCGCGCTTTTTTAAGGGACTTTATCCTGCTAAATCATCTTTTAAAGGCGTTCCCTGGCTTCATTAGGACAATTGAAGGTCGTTTGAGAAGAAAACTTTATAAGGCATTGACCACCTGGTATTCTGCAAATTAAAGGAATTTAATTTCCTCAAAAATCCAATTTATCATCGATGAAATTTGCGCACATTATCATCACTTAATAGAGCTGCAATTTTTGCTTAGATTTCCAGAAATCTTTCCTCAGTATCTTCGGTGGCTATTTTGAGAACGTTTAGCGGAAACTTATCAGTAGAATTAGAAAAGAAATGGCTTGCTATTTTTTTACTTTGAAAGCTAGGGGCCAGTTATGTGAAATTTGAAATTAGTTTGCTGACTTCATAAATATATATATGTGTAATAAATATATATGTATACAATCGCCCTGTGTACTAAAATTGCATAAATAAACTAACTTACAATGGTATATGTGTAAGAAATATTTTGTTGGCCAAAATGAACGATAACGATACAAAATAGTTGGATAATTTTTATTTTTAACTGAAAAAAATACATTGTGAAAGGTGTTCAGAAATCTATAAATCACAGAATATATTATACCGAGATCGAATTTTATGAAACAGGGGTGAAATATAGACGAGTTTTGCTTTGAAAGAATAAAATGAGATATATTTCAATGCAAATGAGATATAGTATTTGAAGTACCTAAACATTTGCGGGCATTTTTTCGTTTTTCTGGGGTTAAGAAAGTGTGTTATGATGTGGTCCTTAAATCGACGTGGTTTAATTAAACTTGGGAAACCGCTGAACTTGACACAATGTGGACCGCAGCAATAGACAGAGGCAGACCACGCATGGGGCAGGATTTTTTAAGTGCATTATGCATATCAGATCTCTAAATCTGCTCTGTTAATCAGATCAACGCTTAAAATATGCCGTTATGGTAACAACAAAGCATACCAGGGAATATAATATATTTACCCCTGTAATTGATCTCATACAGGGACACTGTGTCTTGCTCTGAATATCGCTTGTCGAAGCAAAAATATTTTAAAAATCACAAAAGAGTTATTCACCGTATTGTGAAATTGCAAAGCTTTCATTGCGAAATGTAATAATTTGTTGAAAACGTGCAGTAATCTCAGTCCCAACGTATTAAATGCAACTATATCGATACAAATTGCATGTTGACAATTTCTACAATTATATAGGAATATTCTTTTTAGGCACAACAGCGGTATTTGACGAGCAAAACTGCTTGTGTGACGTGTGTTAAACGTTGCCGTCGCCATTGCTATACTCGGAAAAGATAAGGTTTCATCGCCTAATGTTACTCTTCGACGAATTTATTATTGAAAATATCTCGCCATTATTTGCACACAGTTTTATAAACTATTAACTGACAGACAAGGCATTGTTTTATAGATCGTGCATAACAGCGCGAAGGATTAGCCAAATTCAACATTCACCATGTCAAATAAGCTGAATAATCTGTCAATCAAATACATGTCTTAATGCAAAATACGTCTGTTTTTGAACGGAGATTTCCCCCGATCAAGTTTATCTTGAAAATACAGAATGTTATTCCTCAACGTTGCAAAACGCGTTGCAAATTAGCGCAGAGTTCTCAAGATGCTCCACACCGTTACAAATTAGTAGCAGAAGCTCGCCTTTAGGCAAACAATGGTTAATTTTTTCAAAATTGCGAGTTTATTAAATCCGGACAGTTCGTTGCAAGAGGCCTGTTAACTTAATTACGATATATCAAAAGACATTGGAAGTCTCACAGCGTCTACAAGGGAAGCAAAGCGCTGTGTTACGGACATACTCTGTTGCTTTGTACAAAGATATTCAGCACAAATCGACTTCGAAACGCATCGCAATATTCAATTCAACGCGTCTACGATGTCCGTTTGACGTTGCAACGAAGTCATTTCGTTCTTAACAGTTCTTTTAAGAGAACACAAACGTTATTTGCAAGGTAACTCAATTATTTTAATGGCTCGTGCTGTTCCAATCTGACGGATTCGACAATTTATGAATTAGCGATCAAAAAGCAATTCAGTTACGGTTTTTTAATGTTTTGTAACGCTAGATTTATAGAAAATGACGCTTGCTGGACCGCTAGAAGGAACAGTTCAGGATTGATGAGCAATCTTGTGTAAACATGTTTGTTTTGTTTAGGTTTCCTCCTGCATGTGGTAACACTGGATCAATAAGAGATGATCCTTACTGGAACTCTAGGAAGAACAGTTTAGAACTGATAGAGCTATCCAGTATAAATAAAGTTAGTTTAGTTTAGGTTTCCCGTTTCCTCCTGTAGTAACACTGGATCAATAAGAGATGATCGTTACTGGACCTCTAGGAAGAACAGTTTAGAACTGACAGAGCTATCCAGTATAAATAAAGTTAGTTTCGTTTAGGTTTCCTCCTGTAGTAACACTGGATCAATAAGAGATGATCCTTACTGGACCTCTAGGAAGAACAGTTTAGAACTGATAGAGCTATCCAGTATACCAATAAAGTTAGTTTAGTTCAGGTTTCCTCCTGCAGTAACACTGGATCAATAAGAGATGATCCTTACTGGACCTCTAGAAAGAACAGTTTAGAACTGATAGAGCTATCCAGATAAATAAAGTTAATTTAGTTTAGGTTTCCTCCTGTAGTAACACTGGATCAATAAGAGATGATCCTTACTGGATCTCTAGGAAGAACAGTCTAGAGCTGATAGAGCTATCCAGTATACCAATAAAGTCAGTATGTCAGACCTAAGGACGCCAAGGTTATATAAACAGACTAATTTAAAGTCCATTATTAATTTTCTGGCACATGCAGCGAGTATTTTGGCTACAGAACTAATGAAAGAATATATTAAGAAGCTCGTGATCTCACTACAGTCATTAAAGTTATCACATAATTGCTAATTCCACCCGTAATTTATACATGCATATATGCCAATAATTATATATCCTTAAACACGCTTAATACACCAGGCTTTTGTATAAACGAACGGTCAGATAAGAAAAAAATAATTTTGCTTACGCGAATAACAGTTAGCCGCGGTATACAACTGAAACTTACAAGGAAATATTTGCTTGCATGAGTTCATGCATATAGGGAATAGCTTTCCAAGCTTTTAATATAGCCTAAATCTTCATAAATATCATTGGATTTCAAGAGCGTGCATACGCCAACGCGCAGTTTAACAATTTATTTCAAATAAAAAAGCCCGTTTACTTAAGCATCGCCATTAAGACGCTATTCTCATTGGCTCGTCGTTTCGAGAAAAACATGCGTTTATCATTATAACCAGCAATTTTTAAACGCTGGGGTTACGTTTAAAAGCATTCTCATTGGGGTGAAGGTGTTTGGAAAAGCTAAAAGCAAAATATAGCATTACACGGCAGAAATTTGTGCAGTTATTATAAAATTAAGGTAAGGTCATCTGTAAAATAATAATATATAACTCAAATGCGCTTATTATTTTAGGCAATGAATTTTATTTATACAGATTTCATACTGAATTTATATTATTAATCCAGTTTTACTGAAACAGGGAACCTATAAATTAAACTAATTTATTTATACTGGATAGCTCTATCAGTTTTAAACTGTTCTTTCTAGAGGTCCAGTAAGGATCATCTCTTATAGATCCAGTGTTACTACAGGAGTAAACCTAAATTAAATTAACTTTATTTATACTGGATATAGCTCTATCAGTTCTAAACTGTTCTTCCTAGAGGTCCAGTAAGGATCATCTCTTATTGATCCAGTGTTACTACATGAGGAAACCTAAACTAAACTAACTTTATTTATACTGGATAGTTCTATCAGTTCTAAACTGTTCTTCCTAGAGGTCCAGTAAGGATCATCTCTTATTGATCCATGCAGTGTTACTACAGGAGGAAACCTAAACTAAACTAACTTTATTTATACTGGATAGCTCTATCAGTTCTAAACTGTTCTTCCTAGAGGACCATGCAGTAAGGATCATTATTTTCCTAGTTTACCTAACTACATATTTAATTGCTATTTTAAAACGAAAAGCTATATATGTATATACGTAATAAATATATTTTTTTTACACTTTAGTCTAGTATATATCCTTTTTGTTGTCTATAGACATATATATTTTAAACAATAAAATATTATCAATGTGTGCTTATAGAGTTCAAGAATAATACAAAAACATGCAATCGCGTTGATCCAGCCGTAGGTTAATTGACAAAGAAGTAAAATTATGGGTCGGGGTCTCCGCTATGTCTCATCAGAAGCTAAGATGCAGATAAACACTGCTAGCTTCAAACAGGTGGTCAATAAATATTGCATTATATTTACAGCACAACCCTTGCTCGTAAAAGCAAGAAGCATCCGGTCTTTTAGACGGAAATAGGCTACTTGCAAATGAATGCAAGGTCTTGGAATTCAAACGCAATAAATTTATATAAACACAACGGATATAAAGGTTATTCCGAAAACATCCATTGTGCTCATCAAAAATTTTGACAAATACACGTGTATGCAATCATATCAGTTAAACTCTGTATATTAAGGAGATCAGGAGATGAAATTCCTACAAGATATATTTCTTGTATATAGCTACAATTTTATCTCCTGTAGATGACTCAGAATTAAATCGAAATATAGAATGTAAATTTGATTGTGTATTTGAATGAATAAATTCATTGCCGTACAGAATGAATCTATATTCGTTATATATATACAGCGAAATGGAAAGAATTTTAACCATTATTCCTGCGAATTCAGTTCATATCGTTTGGTAGAACGACTGGCGTAAGTGAATATTGTTTTGAATATAGTCTCTCCTTTAAACACACATAAAACACTGCAGTATTACGACTAAAGAAACCTTTAAATAAACTATAAATAAACACTAAGTTTCGCATCTAAGTTGAAATAAATCCTGCTTTTTTTGTCTGTCGAAAACAAAGAATATCTAATGCTATAAAAACGAATCCGTTTGACGAAGTAAAACAAAAATGATTAGTCATAAAGATTAACAATTATTATTGCCATTAGTAATATTGTCGTTGCTCATTAGGAAATGTAAATGAAACGGTCTGTGTTTTCAAATTACTGGCCGAAATATATTGATTCTTAACCCGATGTTTTTGAGAAGAAAATTTCGTTGAACGAGAAAGATTTTAGGCAGAAACCTAGCCTCAAAATCCCCTCTTAATATAGTTTAGGGAACAGCCGATAATGAATGATCTCGAAGATCCGAAAATTGACCGAAAATTCTATTGACACAGAATTAGCAAATAACAATCATGAATTCCTTGGACACGCGTTGAAATTCCTCGTTCTTTACTTGAATTTTATTTCAAAAATATCCCGAAGAATTGCACGATGTTTTTATATAATTTTATTGAAATAAAGAGCTCGAATATTCGAGAGAACTCTCCTGTAAAAAGCAACGAATTATTTGGCGCCTCGAGGATTGGGATAATTCAAATATTTGCCGCAGAATTGAATGCAATTTCAAAAGCATTTTACAAACAATTTTAAGTAGACAATTTGGTCGAAATTAGGAATAATATATTCTAAGCCTTTACTTAAATATTTCTGTTCGAAAATAGCTTTCAAAACTAGGAAATTTCGACTAGAAATCTCTCGGAAAGTGAAAATCCACTTTCTAAGGATATATCGGAAAATCTGGACGTCTTGCTGTGAGCATACCGCTGCGTAAAACGAGCCCGCGCGCACGTTAGGCGGAAAACACCTGCCTCACATTTATATCATAAAACTAGAAGTTTCGCTGTTATTTGTATTGTTTTGAAACCTGCAATATCTCATCGGGGTTCATTTGCGAGCATAACTTAGAAGCATGCTTTCTAAGCTTCGATTTTGAAAATGAAGATATTAGCGAACCTTTTTGTCCCATTTTTAATCAAAGTAATTTTATTTCGCACGCAAAATTGCGCCATTCATGTCTCTAAATTGCAAATTATTAATAAAACTGTTTGCTCAAAAATCGTAGCTCGTTCCTTATCGCGTGGTTAATGTATGAGGTATATAGTTTCGTGCGAGTCTGTTTTAATTCGCATTTCGGCAGGATACATACGTTAGGATTCAGATGTAGATATCTGATTCCCGATAAAAGTCATTGTCGTTTTCATTATCTTCGTTTGCCGAAATTTAATTGCGATTTACGCCAGTCGATAGTTATTCAAATCCGTGAAAAAATATTGACTGTGAATTTGCATTGAGACACGACGCGACAAATCGAAGCTTGTCCTGTTTTATTTATCTGAATATACACGATTTGGTTGCATCAATAATTTCGTCTCCTGAAGCGCTATGGACCGTTCAAATGAAGACAATATGAACACGCAAACGCTTTTAGAAACGACAGCATGGGTATGTTATGAAGTATTATTGCTATTTCTGTATTATTGTATAGAATTCAGCGTTACAACTGACTTGGCTGTAAAATATTTCACATACTCAAGCATTTAAGAGCTTAGTTTTTTTGTGAGATGGAATTATTGAGTAAAATTCAAGCATGGGGAATTAAAATCTTATATCAACTGACTTGGCACATATTAAGTAATATCTTATACGAGTTTGCGTGTGTAATCTTGTGATGTATTTTAACGTCTGGTGGCTATTTCCATGTCGTAAAATTATTTCATAAACGATCATTCATTGCAAACTAGACGTGCTTAGGAGAAGCGAAGAACGGTTTCGAGGGACAAAGAGGTGAAAATAAAAGACTAATGTTGTTAAAAATTTACTAGTGTTAAAAAATTCAAATAGGCCTTCTGCTGGATAGATTTGATTATATACGTTAAATATCGCTGCTTGATAAAAAGCCCTTAATTCATCATCACTTGCGAACCAATTTTCGGCTATCTTTTAAGATTAGAACAACATCTTGTTAGATACGAGTAGATATACCTTGTTGCGATTGCAAGGACGGTGTATTTTTCTGCTCCTGAATTAGACTCGAGATGTTATATTTAACAAATTTTAAAGTCGCTATGACTATGTCCAAAGTGCATTGAATGTTTAATGTATCAATGGCTGGCTTGTTTTGAGGTGTTGTATTAATTAAAGACCTGTTTCCACTAATAATGCAGTATTTAGGGTCGAGTCGTAGAGAACAAAACCTACCTTTCGTGATATTAATCGGAGATATTATTTTTGTCGAGAGGATAAATTTACTGAGCTTCAAGCATTACCGCTGGATTGCGGTACCGATGCTACAACTTAAACCGTCTTAAATTAAGAGTTCGAGCTTTTTATGACTATATGAATAAGATTATTACTTGACCTCTAGAAGAAGCTGACATTTAGGAACTGATAGAGCTATCCAGTATAAATAAAGTTAGTTTAGTTTAGGTTTCCTCCTGTAGTAACACTGGATCAATAAGAGATGATCCTTACTGGACCTCTAGGAAGAACAGTTTAGAAATGATAGAGCTATCCAGTATAATAAAGTTAGTTTAGTTTAGGTTTCCTTCTGTAGTAACACTGGATCAATAAGAGATGATCCTTACTGGACCTCTAGGAAGAACAGTTTAGAACTGATAGAGCTATCCAGTATAAATAAAGTTAGTTTAGTTTAGGTTTCCTCCTGTAGTAACACTGGATCAATAAGAGATGATCCTTACTGCAACTCTAGGAAGAACAGTTTAGAACTGATAGAGCTATCCAGTATAAATAAAGTTAGTTTAGTTTAGGTTTCCTCCTGTAGTAACACTGGATCAATAAGAGATGATCCTTACTGGACCTCTAGGAAGAACAGTTTAAATGATAGAGCTATCCAGTATAAATAAAGTTAGTTTAGTTTAGGTTTCCTCCTGTAGTAACACTGGATCAATAAGAGATGATCCTTACTGGACCTCTAGGAAGAACAGTTTAGAAATGATAGAGCTATCCAGTATAAATAAAGTTAGTTTAGTTTAGGTTTCCTTCTGTAGTAACACTGGATCAATAAGAGATGATCCTTACTGGACCTCTAGGAAGAACAGTTTAGAACTGATAGAGCTATCCAGTATAAATAAAGTTAGTTTAGTTTAGGTTTCCTCTGTAGTAACACTGGATCAATAAGAGATGATCCTTACTGCAACTCTAGGAAGAACAGTTTAGAACTGATAGAGCTATCCAGTATAAATAAAGTTAGTTTAGTTTAGGTTTCCTCCTGTAGTAACACTGGATCAATACGAGATGATCCTTACTGGACCTCTAGGAAGAACAGTTTAGAAATGATAGAGCTATCCAGTATAAATAAAGTTAGTTTAGTTTAGGTTTCCTTCTGTAGTAACATTGGATCAATAAGAGATGATTCTTACTGGACCTCTAGGAAGAACAGTTTAGAACTGATAGAGCTATTCGGTATTAATAAAGTTAGTTTAGTTTAGGTTGCCTCCTGTAGTAACACTGGATCAATAAGAGATGATCCTTACTGGACCTCTAGGAAGAACAGTTTAGAACTGATAGAGCTATCCAGTATAAATAAAGTTAGTTTAGTTTAGGTTTCCTCCTGTAGTAACACTGGATCAATAAGAGATGATCCTTACTGGACCTCTAGGAAGAACAGTTTAGAACTGATAGAGCTATCCAGTATAAATAAAGTTAGTTTAGTTTAGGTTTCCTCCTGTAGTAACACTGGATCAATACGAGATGATCCTTACTGGACCTCTAGGAAGAACAGTTTAGAACTGATAGAACTATCCAGTATAAATAAAGTTAGTTTAGTTTAGGTTTCCTTCTGTAGTAACACTGGATCAATAAGAGATGATTCTTACTGGACCTCTAGGAAGAACAGTTTAGAACTGATAGAGCTATCCAGTATAAATAAAGTTAGTTTAGTTTAGGTTGCCTCCTGTAGTAACACTGGATCAATAAGAGATGATCCTTACTGGACCTCTAGGAAGAACAGTTTAGAACTGATAGAGCTATCCAGTATAAATAAAGTTAGTTTAGTTTAGGTTTCCTCCTGTAGTAACACTGGATCAATAAGAGATGATCCTTACTGGACCTCTAGGAAGAACAGTTTAGAACTGATAGAGCTATCCAGTATAAATAAAGTTAGTTTAGTTTAGGTTTCCTCCTGTAGTAACACTGGATCAATACGAGATGATCCTTACTGGACCTCTAGGAAGAACAGTTTAGAACTGATAGAACTATCCAGTATAAATAAAGTTAGTTTAGTTTAGGTTTCCTTCTGTAGTAACACTGGATCAATAAGAGATGATCCTTACTGGACCTCTAGGAAGAACAGTTTAGAACTGATAGAGCTATCCAGTATAAATAAAGTTAGTTTAGTTTAGGTTTCCTCCTGTAGTAACACTGGATCAATAAGAGATGATCCTTACTGGACCTCTAGGAAGAACAGTTTAGAACTGATAGAGCTATCCAGTATAAATAAAGTTAGTTTAGTTTAGGTTTCCTCCTGTAGTAACACTGGATCAATACGAGATGATCCTTACTGGACCTCTAGGAAGAACAGTTTAGAACTGATAGAACTATCCAGTATAATAAAGTTAGTTTAGTTTAGGTTTCCTTCTGTAGTAACACTGGATCAATAAGAGATGATTCTTACTGGACCTCTAGGAAGAACAGTTTAGAACTGATAGAGCTATCCAATACAGTGGTAATATATATCTCAAATTCCTACAACTATTTAAACTTAACGGTGTTTCGTTTTATTTCAGTAATGAGGGGTGTCTGCGCTAAAGTACTCTGGCTCACAGCCTGCCTCGTCGGGGCATCGTCTTTCACGATGGCTTTGCAAATGCCATTTGTTACGAAGCCTATCAGCAAACACGATATATTTCTTCGCTTAAACGACGTGAAATCGAAGACACAACCGGAAGAATTTCATCGTTACAACATCACCTTCGCTGCTAAGCAGCTCCCGATGGGAAATATGAGTTTAGACGAACGTTGTAATCGCGGTCTACCGTTGTCTGTGCGCTGGACCAACTATGGTCCTTATGGATCTCTGGTCCGTGAGACCAGCAATATCACAAACAACGATGGAGTTGGATTGACTGGGATCTTTCCAAGCGTGATAAACAATGTTTTGAAAGAATGCTGCCATGCGAACACGCATGTCGTCTACGGACACTATATTAAAACTCTCAAGGAACTGGAGAAGAGTTTATGGGACGGGTCCCCAGAAGATATAATGTTTCCCATCGGACTACAAAGCATGGATATCAAGGAATTTAAAACCTTGCCAGTCGTGCCTCTGTTGGTCGCGCCAAGGACGACTTTGGTCGTACCGGAAACCGATAAGAACCGAGGACGAACAATTGAGTTGTTCCAGACGGTTGGGATGGCCTGGCCTATTCTGCTGTTTATCGTTCTCGCGGCCATATTGTCTGGAATGTTCATGTGGACATTGGTAAGCCCGTGACACAACGCAACGCAATAAATCACAAGAGAACGCAATTAAACGCAACGCAACGCAATAGAACGCAACGCAACGAAAACAACGCAATCAAACAAAACGGAACGCAAAACATAACGCATTAAAACGAACGCAATAAAACACAACGCAACGCAATGAAACGCAACGCAATGAAACGCAACGCAATGAGACTAAACGGAACGCAAAACACAATGCAATAGAACACAACGCAACGCAACGCAATGAAACGCAACGCAATGAAACGCAACGCAATGAGACTAAACGGAACGCAAAACACAATGCAATAGAACACAACGCAACGCAACGCAATGAAACGCAACGCAATGAAACGCAACGCAATGAGACTAAACGGAACGCAAAACCAATGCAATAGAACACAACGCAACGCAACGCAATGAAACGCAACGCAATGAAACGCAACGCAATGAAACGCAACGCAATGAAACGCAACGCAATGAGACTAAACGGAACGCAAAACACAATGCAATAGAACACAACGCAACGCAACGCAATGAAACACAACAGAACGCAATGAAACACAACAGAACGCAATGAAACACAACGCAATAAAAAACAACGCAACACAATAAAACGCAATAAACACAACGAAACACAACGCAACGGAAAGGAACGCAATAAACACAACACAATGAAACACAACGCAACGCAACGCAACGCAACGGAACGCAATAAACACAAGGCAACGCAATTCAAAAACGCTGGTCTATTAACACTACAATTCTCACAGGATCATTTCAAGAATCCAGACGAATTTCCAATGAAATTTACGGAAGGAGTCTGGGAAGGATTTTGGTGGGCTATTGTTACCATGACAACAGTGGGGTAAGCGTTTGCCAGGAACGATTATTTCAAACTAAACATTGTAAATAAAATCTAAGAGAAAATAGAGCCTATATTAGCAGAGCCTATATTTGCCGCATTCAAAATATTCCGACGAAATTTTACAATTTACCTATATTTAGGATTTCCGTTCCAGATTCAGGGATAAATTTGGTTTAAAATTTAGCTTATATTCTTACGTTTCTCTGATGTTATTAGATACGGTGACCGCGCACCAAGGTCCATATTAGGTCGCCTGTTTTGCATGATTTGGATTATAACTGGAATGAGTATCATCGCCATTTTAACTGCAATGGTGACCGCGTCGCTTTCAGCCAGCATTGAGTATCGTTTGGTTGTCCACGGCTCGAAGGTAGGACCCGAATCACACCTTTATCGAAACTAAGAATGAACATTACGCACATCTTTACCAAAAACTTAGCTGTTGATCTTGTTAGCACAGAAAGAAATTCTATTTTTTCAGATGGGGGCTGTCGATGGTAGTCAAGAAGAAAGAATTGGAACTGGAATGAACGCTGGAATCAAAAGTAGGATATTTGAAACTTTTACTAAAAACACAGATAGAGTAGGACACTCCTGTCTCGTCAACTTGGGAAGACTTGAAATTTTTATTCATATCAAATCAACTTTATTTAATGAGGGTAGCCACGTCAGTTCAAACTTAAATTAATGTGAGCCCTGAATGAACTGAAACGCGACGTTATTCGTATTTCTTTCTATCGTCACAGCTTTTGACACACCAAAGGATGTCGTCGAGGCTCTGGTCGATACAACATCACTGGAAGTCGCAATAATGGACAGTTATCTCTTATCCTATTACCATGAAGTCATCAAACGTGAACCAGTTAGAGTCAAGGCAAACGAAGAACTACCAATCAACTATGGCCTATCCTTAGCACCAAACTCAGAGAACTTTACCCAGTGCTTTATAAGATACATCAAAAACAATCCCCAGGATATTTTTGAAAGTATTCGACAGAATTTAAATCCGTTAAAGGTAAAGGAACGCTTTGTTACAATCGTAAACGAAACAAATAATTCAACACTTTACATGAAGTATTAAAAATTCAGGCATTCTGATTGGCTTAGCTTGAAAAACGTAACAAAATTTCCCGATTAGTTTGAAACGAAATTCATCGTTGTTCCACCAATCATTCTCGTTGTTTTATTCGTAGAATCCGACAGATGACGTAAGCGAGGAATTGATCGCCTCGCAAGGATTCTTGGGTGAAAAAGATTTTCATATGATTTTGTACGCACTTGCTGGCTTTCTAGGAGGCTTCTTCTTGCTTGGAATAATTTGGGAGTTCTTTATCTCCAAAATTATATGCAGTTTTTGGCGTACGCAGCAAGTTTTTTGGCGCATGAAAACAAACCAAACAAGAAATAACTACACAAAGTAAATAACCAAATAATCAGACAGGGAGACAAACAAATAAACAGACAAACAAATAAATAGACGAAGAAATAAACAGACAAAACAAACAGACAGACAAATTTTAATATAGCTTAGTGTTCCCTATATAGTTACTGAATGCAACGTTAGCTGATCGCTATATAGTTACTGAATGCAACGTTAGCTGATCGCTATATAGTAGCTGAATGCAACGTTAGCTGATCCCTATATAGTAGCTGAATGCAACGTTAGCTGATCCCTATATAGTAGCTGAATGCAACGTTAGCTGATCCCTATATAGCAACTGAATGCAACGCTAGCTGATCCCTATATAGCAACTGAATGCAACGTTAGCTGATCCCTATATAGTAGCTGAATGCGACGTTCGCTGATCCCTATATAGTAGCTGAATGCAACGTTAGCTGATCCCTATATAGTAGCTGAATGCAACGTTAGCTGATCCTGATATAGCCAACTGAATGCAATGTTAGCTGATCCCTATATAGTAGCTGAATCAAACGTTAGCTGATCCCTATATAGCAGCTGAATGCAACGTTAGCTGATCCCTATATAGCAACTGAATGCAACGTTAACTGATCCCTGTATAGTAGCTGAATGCAACGTTAGCTGATCCCTGTATAGCAACTGAATGCAACGTTAGCTGATCCCTATATAGTAGCTGAATGCAGCGTTAGCTGATCCGTATATAGTAGCTGAATGCAACGTTAGCTGATCCCTACATAGCAACTGAATGCAATGTTCGCTGATCCCTATATAGCAACTGAATGCAATGTTCGCTGATCCCTATATAGCAACTGAATGCAATGTTCGCTGATCCCTATATAGCAACTAAATGCAATGTTCGCTGATCCCTATATAGCAACTAAATGCAATGTTCGCTGATCCCTATATAGCAACTAAATGCAATGTTCGCTGATCCCTATATAGCAACGGAATGCAATGCTCGCTGATCCCTATATAGCAACTGAATGCAATGTTCGCTGATCCCTATATAGCAACGGAATGCAATGTTCGCTGATCCCTATATAGCAACTGAATGCAATGTTCGCTGATCCCTATATAGCAACTGAATGCAACATTATGAAATTAATTTATTTTCAGAAACGAACAGAGCACCGAAAGCGAAGAAAAAAAAAGAAAAGAAAAGTATTTTTGAGTCGTTGATTGGATTCAGACTCTCTCAAAACCCACCAATGCAAAATGAAGACCGTGCTCAAATCGAGCTGATTCAGCAGAAAACTGACAAAGTTCGTCAGTTAATACGAGAGTATGAGGAATTCTACGAATCCTGGATGGAAAAGTTGAAGGAAGCGACTGAAGGCAGCGAAGATTTAAAAGGTTTTGGACCAGCGAGTGCGAAATGGATGATGGTTACCCACAATGGAAATAACGGAAACCCAGCTTAACCACGTGACCAATCTTACCGGGTGATCTAAAATGGCGGGAAAGGACCGGGACGAGTTGTCAAATAAAAACCATTTCTCGGTTGAAACAATTTAATATCTCTTGAAACACACTTTACTTCGGTTTCAAATTCATATCAAAGCTATAGTTCTTATATCTAAACATAATCACAAAATTTCGAATGGTTTCATAAAGAATAACATAGGATATATTTGGTTAAATTCTGCAGAATGGTTTTCTATTTTGACATTCCTTCTGAGCCAGCGGTTGACTGGCTAAAATATATGCGCGGGATCACTTGGTATTTAAAAAAATCGAACTAATTGTATAAGAAAAACGAACAGGGAAATTATATAGGTTATGTACACATGAAAACACACAAATCTCCACGTGAAGTGTCGAATACGTTTTGTCAACAAATACCTAGATAATATATATTAGTTTTTTGCGCTTAATCAGAAATAAATTGTTTATAGATTTAAAAACAATTTAAAGACTTTTCACGCAGGAAATATTTTCTTGCGACGATATTTAATTTCATAAAAATTATTGCTTACCCGGGACAATTTCGTCGAGGATTCGCTGAGTCAAGGATTCATATGATCCAAATAAAATTCGCAAAGGACCGCTTGGCTGTTTGACGGATCAGAGTTTGATAACTTTGTTTATATGAATACAGTGTATCTTGATTTGACTTATCATATATTTAAACAGAGGTTTTGGTGTTCAAAAAATAAAATATATATCTTTCACTGATGTACAATATTTGTAATGAATTATAGATTTCATTTGCAATATATACGAATAAATATTTACCCTAAAACAATTGCTGTGTAATAAAATATACCTCAAAATACTGCCTGGTGTTATGGTAATAGAAATTTATCGACTGTCAAGAAAAATCAGTTCACTGAAAATTTATTTCTTTTAATTTGAAAGAATTTTAACATC